CCCCCGGCACATGCCTGAAGTACAAGCCAAGGGGACCTGAGCATCAGGCTTCACTAACTAGAATGTAAAAGCACCTGGACTCAGTCATCCGGGACTTTAAGAACAACCTGGTCAGTCACTGTGTAGCTACAAATAGGCTGGAACTCTTTTTAGTTTATTTGTTTGATTTTGAGACAGGGTTTCTCTGTATAGCTCTGGCTGTCCTGAAACTCACTCTGTTGACCAGGCTGGCCTCAAACTCAGAGATCCACCTGCCTCTATCTCCCAAGTGCTGGGATCAAAGGCGTGCACTATCATGCCCGGATTAGCCTTGAACTCTGATCTTCCTGAATCAACCTCCTAAGTGAAGTTTCCAGATTGTAAAGGTCTTCGTGGGTCACTAGCCAGTAGGTAGCATGCCCATTCTTCCATTCACTTTTTTTTCTTAAATAAAGTTTCATATATCCAAGTCTTTGTAGCCAAGAATGACGTGTGAACTTCAATCCTGATTATAGGCGTGACCAGATTACATGTATGTGCTACCACATCTGGTTTACGCTGTGCTGGGGATCAACGCCAGGGCTTCGGGCATGCTGTGCCCACACTCTGCCAACCTCCTTGGTCCCTCCCTCACTGGGTTAAAGAAGCCTGCTTTGATTGGCAGGGAGGAAGACAAGCAAAGCATCATCTGGGGTCTCCCTCAGGCTGTTACCTCCTCCTGGTCCAGCATCTGCTGCTTCAGCTTCTCGATGAGCTGGCTCTGCTGGTTGATTTCATCATCCTGTCCGAGGCAAGAGCGGGTGGTGAGGGGCTACTTCTCCCATTTTAGAGGGCCAGGACCAGAGGAAGAAGCAAGATCCCCGAAAAATCAGAGTGCTGGCTGCTGTGAGTTGGAAAAGCTCACATATCAAAAGGAAGCCTGGTCCCCGGCTTCTTTCTGGGACTGCAGCATGTCACTTTTAAATTCCTTTGGGACCACCATGGCAGTACACAGCAAAAGTCTGCACATCTGTACCCTGTAGCCTAGAACTCTCACATTAGCACTCCAGTCTAGCCAAATCATTTAAAAGAAAAAAAAAAAATCAGATTAAGAACTGGGTTACTCTTTGAGACAGGGTCTCACATGCCTAAGGCTGGTCTTGAACTCTGCATGTCCATGTAACTGCTGCAAATGGCCTTGAACTCTGATCCCCCTGTCTCAACCTAACAAGTGTTAGGATCATAGGCATATGCCACCTCGACCAGGATCTCTGTGCTAGTGTGTGATGAGACAGGGTCTTACCATGTAGCCCAGGCTAGCCTAGAACTATGTATCCCAGGCTGGCCTCAAATTCCCAATCTTCCTGCCTCAGCCTTGTAGGTGCTGGGATTATAGAGCAGAAATTCCACACCTGGTTCAAAAGCAAACACTCTCTCTCTCTCTCTCTCTCTCTCTCTCTCTCTCTCTCTCTCTCTCTCTCTGTCTATATGTGTATAGTGTTTACTTTAAATAATTATTTTTATTTTATTATTATATGTATGTGGATGTTTTATCTGCCTATATGTCTGTGTACCACATGTATGCTGGTGCCTGTAGAGCTAGAAGAGGACATCAGATCTCTTAAAACATGAATTACAGATGGTTGTGAGCCACCATGTAGGTGCTGGGAATCGAACCCAGGTCCTCTGGAAGAGCAGCCGGTGGCCTCAACCACTGAGCCATCTCTCCAGCCTCAAAAGCGAATGTTTATTCATAACAGCCAAATACATTTTAATAAATGGATTCTCAGACATCTGTTTAAAAGAAACTTCTTTCGTTTTCAACAGTTTCCAGGCTGGTCTCAAACTCCCCATGTGGCTCAGGATGACCTTGGTGTTCTGATGTGGCTGTCTCCACCCGAGTGCTGGGATAATAGCTATGTGTTACCATGCCTGGCATTACGTGGTGCTGGGGATTGAACCCGGGGCTCTGTGCATGCCAGGCAGGCACTCTACCAACTGAGTTATGCCCTTAGCCCTAAACAGACCTTTTTATGAAGAACTGTTAAAACTAGTTTTAATGTGATGCTAACCGAAAAAACTGGAGTTGGTCAGGGTGGCCACACTTGTAACCCCAACTGAGGAGGCTGGGGCAGGAGAGCCAGGAGTTTGGGGCTCACCTAAAATATGAGGCTATCTATAAGAAAGAAAAATAAGGAGGCTGGAGAGATGGCTCAGCAGTTAAGAGCACTGGCTGGGGCTGGAGAGATGGCTCAGAGGTCAAGAGCACTGGCTGCTCTTCCAGAGGTCCTGAGTTCAATTCCCAGCACCCACATGGTGGCTCACAACCATCTGTAATGAGATCTGGTGCCCTCTTCTGGTGTGCAGACATACATGTAGGCAGAACACTGCATACATAATAAATAAATCTTAAAAAAATAAAAAAAAAAATTTAAAGGAAAAATAAGATGCAAACTACCTCTCCTGTATACCTCAGTTGCACAATACACCAAGAACAGTAAAACGTTAACAGTGTTACATCTAGTGATAGTTGACCAGTCTCTTCCATTTTCTTCTGCTTTTAAAACTCATTTTCCTCAGCATAATGGCAGCACAAACCAACTTCTTCTTTTTTTTTTTTTTTTTAAGAACAGATACTACATTTATTTTTGAGGCAGGTTCTCTTCATATAGTCCAGGTTGGCCTGGAACTTTTTTTTGGGGGGGGGGGTGTCTTTTTTTTATTTTATTTTTTCTATTATCAGCTGGATACAGTACAAATCCTTATCCTAATAGTGAAATGTTTCACTGAGGCTTGCCCAGTGATTGAGAAAAACCAAAACTTATTCTAAGCCACAGTCATCCTAGGGTCCCCCCTGCTGTGTAGCCTCCCTGGATCTATGGGACAAAGCGACTTCTTAAAAAAAACCACAGTGTGCATGTGTTTGTGTGGGGTGTGCACGCGGGGCTCACGTGGAGGCCAGGAGACAACCTGTGGGAGTCGGTTCTCTCCGGAGACGCAATGCAGGTCACCGGGCTTGGCAGCAGCCACCTGTTCCTGCCGCTGAGCCATCCTGCCAGCCCCACGCCAGCCCCACGCCAGCTCTCGCCACCTCGCGGCTCACGCACCCCGCCCGGCTGCCTTCACCTTGTCGTCCAGCTGTTTGTAGAGGCGTCGGATCTCTTCCTCGTACTTCTGCCTCTCCTCCGGGGCGATGCGGACCACGATGGATGAGTTGTCGTTCACGGGCGTCTCCTCGCAGAGCTCAGCTCCCAGAGCTGAATCCTCCCCAGCCAGGCGCTCAGTCTCAGGTACGTTCTCTCCTGACAGAGGGACAGACAGAGAGGAAAGACAGTGTGATGGCTGATCTTATCAAGGTGACAGTATCCAGCCTCACCCAGGAGACAAAGCTCTGGAGGGGGTTTCCAGGCTGAGTTGGTTCAAGCGGGCAGATCCACCTTAAATGTGGGCAGCACTGGACAGATCCACCTTAAATGTGGGTCACACTGGGCAGATCCACCTTAAAAGTGGGCAGCATCATTTCCCGGACTGGTGTCCAGACTGAATGAAAAGGAGGAAATGGCTGGGCGTTGGTGGCGCACGACTTTAATCCCAGCACTCGGGAGGCAGAGGCAGGCGGATCTCTGTGAGTTCGAGGCCAACCTGGTCTACAGAGTGAGTTCCAGGACAGGCTCCAAAGCTACACAGAGAAACCCTGTCTCAAAAAACCGAAAAAGAAAAGGAGGAAACGAGTGGGACACCGGCCCTCATCTCTCTGTTTCCTGACTGTAGGTGGAATGTGAGCAGCTACCTCCGGCCCCGGCCACCACGGCCACCACGCCCCTGCACACTCAGACTGTGAGCCACCGTAGACACGTTCACCCTTAAGCTGCTTTAGCTAAGGAGTCACGTCACAGCCCTGAGAAAAGCGGGTGCAGGTGGAGAAGAGGGAGCTGCATGCCCAAGTCCACCCTCCCGACCCCTCGGAGCCAGGGTCTCCGGGACCTCAGCTCCTCCGCCTTTGGGGGACCTCAGGCAGCAATCGGCTTATTCACGGCCTCTCCTCTGCACTTCTTCCAGAAACACAGCCCGGCTCCCTCGAGATTGTTGCTGGCCTTCAACACTCCCAGGCAGGGCCGTCCCCTAAGCCACACCTCTTACTCCCATGGGGGGTGGGGAGGGTCCCCTCTCTAACCATTGCGCCACCGGCTCAGCTCAGCCTCCAGCTTCGCAATGGTCTCCTTCTGGGCCTTGGTCTTCTCCTTCTCCTTCTCGTATTTCTTCTTCCATTGCTCAGCAGTCAACTCCAGGTTCACCGAGGCAGTGTTCTTAATAGTCTTTGCCCTGAGTGAAGAGAGAAGGCGAAGATGAGACTCAGGCTGGTCTCTGGTGATGGGGGCGGGGGGAGAGGGTAGCAAGGGATGATGAGGCAGGGGCAGGGCCCCCCCGATCCCTCTGGGGACCCCGACACTGACCGCTGCCCGAACATCAGGGTGGACTTGGTCTCGGCGTCGTTGTAGCTGGAGGGCGAGCAGCAGATGAACATGGTTGTCCTGCAGTTCCCCCCCAGAGAGTCCTGGAGAATCCGCGTCATCTTGCTGTCGCGGTAGGGCACGTAGCTTTTCTAGAGGGGGGGGCGGGCAGACCGCGAATGAGGAAAGCTACTTTGGGCTGGAGAGATGGCTCAGAGGTTAAGAGCACCGACTGCTCTTGCAGAGGTCCTGAGTTCAATTCCCAGCACCCACAGGGTGGCTCACAACCGTCTGTAATGAGATCTGGCGCCCTCTTGGTATACATAATAAATAAATAAATAAATAAAAGATCTTCAACAGGGAAGCAGAGGGTACGTGGTTCCCACTAGGGATTGGGCAGCCGTGGGCCGGGCGTGGTGAGAAACCCGGGGAACGCTTACCGTGCCCTCAGCCAGGGCGGAGATCACGTTCCCCAGGGCCGACAGCGACTTGTTGATATTCTTGGCCTCATCCAGCACAGCCCCCTCCGCGCCAGTCTTGCTGACCTGTCAGAGGTTACAGAACAGGGGGTCAGGGGGAGCCGCGACCGCTGTCACCTCATCTGGTTTTTCAAGACAGGGTCTCTCCGTGCAGCCCCGGCTGTCCTGGATCTCGCTGTAGCCCAGGCTGGCCTCGAACTCAGAGATCCGCCTGCCTCTGCCTCCCGAGTGCTGGGGTTAAAGGCATGCGCCGCCGCCGCCCGGTCTCAAATTTAATTTTTAAAAAGGCAAACCTTCCCCCGCCACACCCTCCACCTTCCTCCAGAGATCCCCAACCTTCTCGCTCCCGGCCAGGTCCACAAGGTACAGCTTCCCGCTGAGCTTTTGCTCGGTCTCGATGTTCTCCTGCTTGATGTTGATGAGGAAGATGCTGTGACTCCGAGAGCTGTGCTCGTTCATGTCTGCGGGAGCAGGGAAATGTGGGTCCTTTACTTACCAACCCCTGCGGAGTGCAGCCTGAGCCACGGCGCCCACTAGCGGCCACTCCAAGCCATGGCGCCCACTAGCGGCCACTGCGGGTCACGGCGCCCACTAGCGGCCACTGCGGCCACTCCAGGCCACGGCGCCCACTGCGGGCCACGGCGCCCACCAAGCGAGAAAAGTCTTCCCAACCACATCTCCTAGGCACTGGGCTAACACAGGCAGGAGGCCCCTGCGCCCCCGCTTGCTCGCCCCCAAGGCGCACAGAAGAGAAGCAAGAAGACCTCCAGACCCCAGAGCTGTTTGTGTCCACCACCCCCACACTCACTGGTGACGGCCACGTGACGGTTCGACTTCCCTTCGTCGATCACATCCAGAATCTCCTCCGGGCTGGACACGAAGCGTTCGGTACAGCCCTGCCGGAGGCAAACAGCAGGCACCACTCGTTGTGATCCCCAGGGTAGGCTGCCCACATGCCACCCGAGCGATCTGTCAGGAGGTGACCTAGCGCCTGGGCCACCGACCCCTCCTCCTCCCTCACACAGGCTCTTGACGCCCTCGTCGCACGTGAGGACCCACAGGGCTCTCACCTTGACAAACGGCACCCGGTTTTTGTCCTCGTGCACAGACAGGTTTGTCTTGGTCACTGAATCGAGACAGAGCCGGGTGAGAGAAGCCAGTGCCCACCGTACCCACCCACCCACCCTGGGTATCCTGCAGGAAGACTCCAGGGGGAACCCAAAGGCACGTCTGCAGGGAGGTGCCGTTCGCTCCTCCCCACAGGGCTCCCGCTCTTTTCTGGCTCCATAATGTGTAACGGCCTTTAAGCTCGTCTTTGGGGAATTTTTTTTTTTTTTTTTTTTTTTTTTTTTTTTCTGTAGTCTAGGGGATTAAACGCAGAATCTCACTCATGCCAGGAAAGCCCTTTATTCTTCATTCCTGCCCTCTATTCCCACCCCCTCCCTCTTCCGGTCTCTGATTTTGCCCTATTGATTAGGATTTGGACATCAGGCCTCATTCTCGCTAGGCAGGCTCCACCACTCTCCTCCATCCCACCCCTTTTTATTTTTTTCCCTTTTGAGACACAACCTCGCTAAGTTGCCCAGGGTGGCCTCAGAAATCACAATCCTCCTGTCTCAGCCTCCTGAGTAGCTAGATTTATAGGCAAGCACCACCATCCCTGAGGAGCAGAGCCAGAGGACTCTGGTGTAAAAAGGAGACATGTCCTGGATGCCCGTCTGCCACCAGACCCTGGATAAAGGTGGTTTCTCTTTGCCCAGCCTCCTCACATACCTTTACCTGCCAAGCCCAAGCACTCACCGTCCAAAAGGTCTCGGATCTTATCCAGGTAAATCTCAAAGTAAGAAACCTGGTTGGGAAGAAAGGGGACAATGTGAGATGTTCTGTTGTTGTTATTTTAATTTTATTTTTATGGGTATGAGTGTTTCGTCTGTTTATCATGTATGGTGCAAGAAGAGCCCATCAGATCCCCGGGAACTGGAGTTAGAGATGGTTGTGAGCCACCATGTGGTTGCTGGGAATTGAACCCAGGTCCCCTGGAAGAACAACCAGCGCTGTTAACCTTTGAGCCATCTCTCCAGCCCCAAGAGGGTGATCTCAAATCTAACACAGGCTCAAGGAGGGTGGTGGCTGGGAAAATGCAGGGGAGGACATCTTGGTGACAAGTTGAGGTAAGCAGAGGGCAGAGTAAGCTTTGGCTGCTTCATTCTAGGCTCTTCCATCTAAGTCCCCCCCAGAAGTCCTGTGCTGATCACCTTAATGTGGAATTCGAGGTTCTCATCCATGGAGTAGATGTGGTTGAAGATGTCTCGAGCAATCCGAGGAATGATTCCCATCAGCTGAGGGTCGTGCAGCTTTCCCTGAGGAGAGAAGGCAGAGCAGAGGAAGGCTCACGGTGAGAAACTCGGAGGCAGGCAGGGGACACAGAGAGAGCACCCTCAGTTAGGAGGTGGTCACCGCCATGTCTGCCTTCGAAGGGAAGCTGATAACTGAGCAGCAGCCTTTGGGTTTCCATTGATGACGCTTTTCTGGATCAAAGGAGGACAGTTGGGGTCACGAGAGGGAGGGAATGTGGGCAGACTAAAGGGATTCCTCGAAACCTCCCCTACCACATTGCTCCTCATCCTCCAGACCCATCTGCCTCCGACTCAGCCCACCCTCAGATTCCTGGATCGAGCCTTTGCTATTCTGTGAACCATCCTAGCATCCCTCAGCCCCCTGAGTCAGAACCCTCACCTCCATGGTATGTGTTTTCCCTGAGGATGTCTGTCCATATGCAAAAATTGTGCCATTGTAGCCAGCAAGGACGTCTGGAAGAGAAGGCGGAGAAAGAGATTGGGTTGGGGGTGGGGGTGGGGGATGGTGAGCCCGGGAAAATACATGCAGGAGAGGAGTCTCTTACCTTTGACGATCTGCATGGCACACGCATGATAAACTTGCTCCTGAGTCGTGTTCGGGGGGAACACGCGGTCAAAGACATATGGTTTTCCCTGGAGGGGGAAATAAGACACGTTAGACGTCGGCAGAGTGTGAGATAGAAGAGGAACGCCGCAGACCTCTCCATCAGCCTGCAAAAGGCATCCTACACCCGGGGTGTTTGAAACGTGAGAGAGCCGGGCGGGAGAAGCAGATTACATCCGACAGCGGAAGAGGAGCCGTGAGACAGAGTGTCACTAAGGGGTGTTGCACAGTGAGGCCATGTAAGGGGGTCCCCGTTCTGGAGGCGAGGTTCTAGCATTCTGCTAACCCCAAACGCCTTCCTGGGAAGCCAGACAGAAAAAGACAAAAGGAAAATGGAAAGTGAGGAATTATTCATTATCAATGACAAGAACCTCAGAGTTTAAAAATATCTCCCTCTGCAGAGATGAATGTCTGGTGGAGAACTTCTTCAAGACGTGCTAAGAAAGGGGCTGGAGAGATGGCTGGGCAGCCAAGAGTGTATGTGTATATATATATATATATATATATATATATATATATATACATATATATACATATATACACTGCTCTTGCAGAGGGCCTGAGTTCGGTTCCCAGCACCCATACAGCAGCTTCCAAGAGACCTTAACTCCAGTTCCAGGGGATCTGGTCGTCTCTTCTGGCCTCTCCCAACCCCAGACACACATGCAGTACACTTACATGCAAGCAAAACACTCATATGCAGATTAAAAAAAAAAAAAACCAACTTATTTTAAAGACGTATTAAGTGAAAGATGCAAAATTGGTAACACAGGTTAGAATGTCCCCCAGGGTATGAGGGAAACATGTCTGCAAAACATTGGCACAGCCCCCTGGTTTTGAAAGAAACATATGAAATCAGAAATGGGGTGCCCCTTTAAGGAACACAGCTCAGTGGGAGAGCACATGTCTATGGTACACGAAGCCAAGGACAGCAGAAGAAACTGAGGCAGACCCACAAGCACTCGGCCTAGCCCAGGCAAAACATACTGTCAACCCTCTAAAATCCAGGGAGCTAAGCAAAGGACTTCTAATTGCACTTAGGGTCTGCGCTCTGCCGCCACCGCCCTCAGTGACGGACGCCTCGGCTGTGTCTCCCTGCCGATCAGACTTTGGATTACTTTCTGAGGGTCTGCCCATGTCAGGCTGAAATGTGAGCCTCGAGATCCACCCGTGGCGGAGTTTGGGAGACGAGCTTCAACAAATGAAAGAAAGCCCCACCACCTCGACCAAAAGGGAGGCAAGGTGGCGGGAGTCAGGCCCTCAGCCGTAAGCACGGTTCTGCAGCTCAGTGCTGCGTACTCGGCATGACTCTCTGGGAAGGATGGCATCAGAGTCGACAGTGGTTACTTCGGAAAGAGGAACAGGGAGAGAGGACACTTTTTATTGTTTGCTCTTTGTCACCAATGGTCTTGTTTATTTGATGTTTCGGCTTTTTGATGTATATTTTTGGGATAGGGTCTCACTATGAAGCCCTGATTGGCCTGTAGCTCATTATGTAGACCAGGCTGGCCTTGAGTTCACAGAGATCCACCTGCCTCTGCCTCCTGAGTGCTGGGATTACAAAGCATAACCTTGATTATATTCTTAAAAAAAAAAAAAAAAAAAAGATTTGTTTTAGCCCCGCATGGTGGCACACAGCTGTAATATCTGCCCTTGGGAGGGGGGAGGCAGGAGGATCTCTGTGGTCTACAGTGTAAATTCCAGGACAGCTAGGGCTACACAGAGAAACCTTGTCTCAAAAAAATAAAATACAATAGTAAAAAGATTTATTTTTATTTTTTTTAAGATTTATTTATTTATTATGTATACAGTGTTCTGCTTACACACCAGAAGAGGGCGCCAGATCAAATTACAGACTGTTGTGAGCCACCATGTGGTTGCTGGGAATTGAACTCAGGACCTCGGGAAGAGCAGTCAGTGCTCTTAACCTCTGAGCCGTCTCTCCATCCCCCTTATTTTTTATTTTTTAAGTGTGTGTGTGTGTGTGTGTGTGTGTGTGTGTGTGTGTGTGTGTGTGCGCGCGCACACACGTGCGCGCGCACCTGTGAGTGCAGGTGCCCAAAGAATCCAGAAGAGGGCATCGGGTTCCTTGGAGCTGAGTTAAGAGGCTTTGAGCTGTGGATGTGGTCAGGTCCTCTGCCAGAGCAGTATATATTCTAAACCACTGAGCTCTATATTCTTTTTGTTTGTTTGTTTGTTTTTGTTTTTCGAGACAGGGTTTCTCTGTGTAGCTTTGTGCCTTTCCTGGATCTCACTCTATAGCCCAGGTCAGCCTCGAACTCACAGAGATCCACCTGCCTCTGCCTCCCGAGTGCTGGGATTAAAGGCATGCGCCACCACTGCTGGGTCAGCTCTATATTCTTTAATGTAAAAGTATTTTTTAACTTGAAATGTCTTTATGTCTCGTAACTACATACTAACCCTACAACACACTTTGGTTGCAGAACATAGAGAAATCAACCTCAAACAGTCCAGGAAACTTCCTCCCCGCTAGCTGGCTTTTGTGATAGAAGGCTCTATGTGGGCTTCCGGAGGAGAAAAGACCTCAGTGTTCTTACCCAGTACTCGAACCTTTATGTTACAATTCTGATCTGCCAGGCAACGTGTGCCCACTGGAGCACTAGGGCACAGCTGTCACCGGGTACACAACTACTTTCTGACTGGACGTGGGGCCTACTCCACAGGAGTGGATTTCACACCTGATACTGAAATCCACCCAGTCAGAAACTCATCGCTAACCCAGCACTCGGGAGGCAGAGGCTGGCGGATCTCTGTGAGTTCAAGGCCAGCCTGGGCTACAGAGTGAGTTCCAGGACAGCCAGGGCTACACAGAGAGACCCCAAGGCAGTGGTTCTCAACCTGTGGGTCGAGACTCCTTTGGGCGGTGTGTGTCACAAATCAGTTATTCTGCATATCAGATATTTATATTACAATTTATATTACAATTACAGGAGCAAAATGACAGTTATGAAGTAGCAATGTATGGTTGAGGATCAGCACACCATGAGGAACTTTGTTAAAGGGCCGCAGCATTAGGAAGGCTGGGAACCACGGCACTAGGGTGAAACCTCTTTCGTTATTTTGCTCAGTGGACATGTTTTCAACTGCGTCCTAAATGTTTACATTTGTACCTATAGACCCGGGCTGCCCCCAGCCCTGACCACAGAGTCTTCCCTTTGCAGTGGGCATCAGTTAGTGCAGAGGTGTAAAATCAGTCAAAGTACTAAGAAAAGGCGACCGAATGCTCATCCCTAAATGGGACATATTTATCAACCCCGGCCCCACCATACACATCCCGGCCTAAAGTGGGACATTTTTATCACACACACACACACACACACACACACACACACACACACACACACACGTCTCAGGGAACCTCAAGGAGGAGGGGACAGAAGGTAGTCAGGCTGGAGGCAGGAAGGAGCGCTGTGAAATACTGTTTTCTGGACATGACATGCCTCACTCATGAACTCACACAGCTCTTTTTACCACCACAAGACCCACAGAAGCTCGAGCCGGCCACTCCAGCGTAGGTGGGGGAGGCGCTCCAGGCCCAGCCCTTACTGAGGAGCTGCCGGGGAAGAGCGACTCAGTCTCCTTTAAGGGTCTCCTCACCGGCAGGTTTTCCCAGGCTCCACTGGACCAGGACTAATTGAATTTACCACCACCAACAACCAAAAGATGTGAGGGAGACGGGCGGGGGAGGGGGGCAGACGGGGGAGTTGGAGGAGGGAAGTGGAGGGTAGATATGATTATATTAAATTGTGTACATGTATGGCATTTGACCATTTGACATTCTCGAGAAAGAAAAACGATAAAATTACTTTCAAAAGTGACATAATGTCTTTTTCCTTACATTTTTTTTTTTTTTTTTTGGTTTTTCAAGACAGGGTTTCTCTGTGTAGCTTTGGGCCTTTCCTGGAACTCACTCTGTAGCCCAGGCTGGCCTTTATTTCATTTTTTTTTCTTAAAGATATTAAAAACTATAGGCTGGACGTGGCAGTGCACATCTTAATCCCAGCAGAAGTAGAAGGAACTCTGGAAGTTTGAGGACTACATACTAAGATCATGTCTCAAATATATATATATATATATATATATATATATATATATATATATATATATATATATACATACATATATTTGGGACTAGGTTCAATTCCCAGCACCCACATGGTAGCTGGCACCAGGCATGCACAGGGCACACAGACATACATGCAAGCAAAACACCCACCCACGTTAATAATAAAATTAATTTTTAAATTAAGGTTGGAAATGTGGGGTGGAACGCTTGCCTACCGTGTTCAAAGCCCTGGGGGGGAGGGGGTGCTGGAGGGTCAGAAACTCAAGCTTAAAGACTTCAAGGCCAAGGACTCTGGACTAAAAAAAAAAAAAAAAAAAAGTCTTTTTTTTTTTTGGTTGTTGTTGTTTTTAACTAAATCTGGGGTTTGGTTAAAACCAGCTGGAAGTATTTATTTGGTCTCTCCCTAATCCAGAGCCCAAACAGCCGGGGTGAGGACAGGCGCTTGTGCTGGGCACCTGCAGAGCGAGGCAAAGCCCTGGGCTTGATCCAATCAACAAAGCATTAAGTTACACTAAAAAGATAAAGCCAGGAAACAGGATTCACACAGGAAAGGAGGCGAGGAAGGAACTCCTTAATGGGGTGCGTGGAACCGGTTTTAGCAAGTCATTCTATTCCATTAAGTACTTAAATATTTATACTCCATACCAAGATTCCGGTGCTGGGAATGCAGTTTGCAAAACACTTACTGATGTGATGATCAAAGATGGATATAAAAAAAAAATCAAAAAGCAAAAAAACGTTCACTTCAGTGGTTTGTATTCAAGAAAAAAAAAAAACAGAAGAAAGTGTGGAACATGGGCAATGGCAGGTTGTACTGTGGCTGGGAGAGTGTGTTCCGCATGTGTGCGGGAGGCCCTGAGTTCCCATCAATCCTCGGTACAGACAGTAAGAAAGAGAGGGTGGGACAAGGAGGGGAGAGGAAGAAGGGATGCTTGGGTAGAT